AAAACGATGGCAAAAATCTGGTTTCTCCAGGACTCTCTGCTTTGCTCTCAGCAAGGTGTGGGGTAACAGCAGTGCCCAAGGGGAAAGGCTGGAAGGTGAGGCACCTCAGAGGTGATATTTTACATTTTAGCCAAGAGGGAATGGCTCCTGCTGCATCCTGCACCCAACACTCCTGTGTGCCTGTCCCGACCCCAGACAGGGTCCTCCTTCACTCTAGATGAACTTATTTACCCAAGCAATTTCTATCCTTTGAAATCCCTGTGTTTTAGAGACCAATGTGCTTTGAGGCACCTCAGTGCTTTAAAATCTGTGTCTGTGCTGAGGTGTGGAACTTCTCATTATCAGAGGCATGAAAATCAGGGGCTTTATATCAAGTCCAAGCACTCCTGAGATGCAGCTTCATGACTGAGTCTCTTCCTCCTGCCTCCCAAGCCTCTTGTTTAACAGGCTCCCAGTGGTCACATTTGCAGAGCTACAGCTTCTGAAATCTTTTTACTCCTACAGGATTTGCTCAAAAGACTCGATTATGAAAATTGAAAATGTACATGCCAGCCTTACTGCTGGCTGGCAGTGTCCCCTTTGCTTGGCAAAGGATGAAGACCTCTCCCTGCAGAATAAAGGATTTCAACATCAAGCTGGCCAGAGGACAGGGGACACACCACAGAGCCTGTCACAACTTGCCAAAGAAATCAAGATCAAGGGCTGCCTAAGAATGTCTAGTGACCATTTGGTGGCCCTGTCAGAAAGTATTTGCCAAGTGTTTCTCTGTTTTTGAATTTAAAAAAATCCTTACCACCCAACTGCAATTTCAGAATCCAGGCTATAGAGGGAAGAGGGATGGTGTAAGAGCTGCCCCTTCCTTCCTTTCTGCTGTGAAAGTAAATGAAGAATTTCCCCACATAACACCAAAACATTAAAGCTTGTGAAAATATTTAACATCAGGTTGTGTTTGGTGGCATTCATTGCCATCATTAGGATCAAAGCCAAAACCACCCAGACTGGATCCACAATGCAGGCAATGATAGCAACTAAATCCCACAGACTGCTGTGTACATGGGATTGAAATAACATAGGATAATATGAACATAGTATTTTGAGATGGCTAGGAATAATATAAAATACGACAAGATTAAAAATTAAAAACCCAAAGAAACAGGAAATCAGGTACAGCCTAAGAGCTAACTACTGTAACCCCAAACTTGCAACTACCTGTGGCATAGCTAAAAATAAAAGGGCAATTTCTATTCACAGCAAAGCTGCTCTTGCTACACAAGTCTGTAGAAAAGCTCCTTCTGTCATGGTGGGACAGAATAAAGTCCCCAGTTCAGCAGCAGTGCCCAGGGAAAAGTTCAACCCCACAGGTGTGAATAAGAGTGAAAACATCTCTGCATGTAGTGAACAGAAACAGATTCTGTACACATGAAAGATTTCCCAAAGCACAGCCTCAGTGGCCAAACTGCAGATGTCTCAGACCCAGCCATTTCTACTGAATCTAAAGTTACAAGCAGTAATAAAAATACACAGGAATTTGGATTCTCTGATAAAGCACTTTCATGACAAATACATTTCCTGGTTTTCCCCTGGTGCTGATCCCCAAATGTGCCCAAAGGACATTTCACTGTCATTATCTTTCATTCTCCTTTTAACTGGCTTTCCTCTGGAGGATTAAACAGAGAGAAAACAGCCCACACTGAACAGCTCTCAGTGGAGGAAGGAATAGCAGCTCTGCCATAAATAATGAGGATGAAGAATTGCTCTGTCAGAACACAGGTGTCCATCACTGCAGCAGTACCTGTGTGCTGCTGGCCAGGCTCTCCCTGCAGAAAGGAGATAATTTCCATCTCTGTGTCACTTTGGTGCTGAAGAGCTTCAATAAGCAAAATGTCAACCTCCACCCACTTCTCAGGAGCTCACAGTATTTTTTTCTTCCTTTTTGTTCCCTCTGCACAATGATCTACTTTCAGCCCCCTTTTTTCCTTACCCCTCTCTGCTGTCCTACCCCTTTGCTCTCTCTGGGCTCCCTGGTGTCACTCTCCTGTCACAGACTGCAGGCCATGTGTGACCAGCCCCCAGAGACATTCCCTGGGCTATCAGGTTCTGCATCACCTCCCATTCCCCCTGTCTGAGGAAGAACTGCTGAGAAAGGAAGGAGATGGAATCTTGCTAAAAACCTCTCAACAAACAGCACAGGCCAATGATTTCTAAAACATTCATTTAAAAATAACACCATCCATCCCCCTACTTGCAGTGCCTCTCTTCTCAGCCCTTTCCTACCAGCGCCTCATCTCCCCTGCGACCTAAATCCTTTTTAGCTCCAGGAGAGTTATCCAAATAAAGCTACTTTGCAATCAGAACAGTGTAACCAGGTTTGAGGGTGCTATGTAATGCTGCAGGCAGTTCTTGACACAGAACCAAGTATCCTGCATAGTTAAGTGCAGTTTTGCACACACTCTTTACATCACGAGGTCATGTCACTCCACCACCAGCCTCCTGAACACTCTTCCATTTTTGCTTACCAGAAGCAATTTCTTTCCATTCTGTGCCTTTGGATACAAGCACTACACAACAGCACTAGGTTTTTCTTCCCTTGGTCATAAGAAAAAACCCAAAAAATCTCTGAAAACAACAAAGAAAAATCTCCAGTAAACAAAATAAACCAAAAAAACGTTTTTTTCCCCTCAACTTCCAGACTAGGACAATCAAGACAGAAAATACATATATTCTTAAAAAACTCAAACTTCTATCACTCCCATTCTTCTAAAAACAGGTCAGGCTATGACAAAGCTGAAGCACCAGAGCTGTGGTCTAGAGTGACACAGTACCAAGCCCACACCAGGTCCGTGCTCGCTGCCATCACCTGCAAAACCTGCAGCGGGCAGGCCCAGGGTGCCATTCCCAACAGCCAGTCCTGCTAGGTGTGGGAACAGCAATTCACACGTTGGATAAGGCCAACAGGCTCTGTGGGCTGAGCAGCGTCCTTGTTTTGCACCCCTTTTGCATGGTTTCCCCACCACAGCTGGCTGTTGTGAGGCACAGCTGGATTCTCCTCATGACGGGTCACGGCGTTCAGGCTGTCACGGACAGGGTCACACCACGTGTGACCTCCCAGCACAGAACCCAGGAGATGCAAGGCTCTGCAGGCAGGCCAGGATCCAGGGAAGGCATTTCAGAGGAGCTGGCATTTACACTGAGGATGTGCCCAGTTCCTGCTCTGCCATCAACCGTGACTGAGGGAATGCACAGCCCAGACCTGCAAAATTAACCTGGGCTGGACATGGGAAAAGGCTTTGGAGAGGTGAGAAAAAAGTAATTGTTTGCATTTATTCTTGTTGAACATTTTCCTTTCTCCAGCCTTCACCTCCAAGGAGATCCTCAGCTCTGCCACAGATCTCCTGCCACTGCACACACTGTCAGGAAGAGCACAACAGGGAAAGGGCATTTTTCCAAGTGCTGCTGTCCCATGATATCCAACCCTCCTGAAAGGCTGGTAAAGCTCTTCCCCTACTGTTAATTTTCAGAGCCATCTTTTAGTCCCAAAGCTTTACAGAGGGCTTGTTACATGGCATTGTCTTTTGTTTTGTGGACAGGGGATAGTTTAAAAATAAATAACCTTTCAGACTAAATAATACAATTATATAATTGCCTTAGTGCCATGGACTGCATGGACTACTCAATCTTGATAGCCATTTCCAGCTGCTTTTTTTAAACTTTATGGTCTCATTCCGTCCTTCATTTAAGCACTAAGGGACTCTTCCCATATCCAAATTATTTCCTGCTAAGCACCTGGATGAAAGTACCCTCCACTGAAGCGAGCACTCAGTCCCCAAGAGAAGGACAAAGGTAACTCTCCCAATGCATCGAGCTCTGCTGTCACATCACCTCTTTCCTTCCCTGAGCTCGAGCACATCAGGTGCAGTTCTGCTTCAATGAATAAACCAAGTGCTTTTCTCCAGGTTTCCCACCAGTGCAGTGACAGAGCAGCTCTGTTTAACAACAGTTAAACCAGTTCAGAGTCACAGCAGCCTTTTTGTGTCTATTAATTACTTTTATCTTAATCTTTGCAAAATACCTCAAAGAAGGGAAGGCAAAATACTGAGAGAGCACACATCCAGCAGAGGTGGAGAGCATTTATTACTAATCTGTGCTCCAGGAGGAGAGGTGAAGCTATGAAAAGAAATAATCCCAGGAAACAGGTTTCTGAGCAAAAGGAGATAACACAAGGTGATCAAAGAGCTGGAGAAGGCCGATTGCAGAGAAGCTGCAGGGAGCTACTTTAAGTGTCCTGGTTTGAGGAACGTTAAAATACAGTGGAAAAATCAGTTACTATTTCATGAAGTGACCACAGACTTGTGTTCACAACTTAAGACTGATTTCCCAAAATATTTAACATATCACAGCAGTTTCTTCCATTAAAGTGCACTCCAGGGCATAACAGGGTGTTTCTCACTTTGTCACCAATTGCCACACACCAAAACAGAAAACAGGATTCTTTTTTTTGCAGCCACCCACAACCCAAGTTTCAGCACACAAATAAATTGGGAAACCAGGAATATCATTTAGCACCAGTGAAGCATTCATGGATTACATTTGAACAAACTTGGAGGAAGAATCAAACCCTGGGTTCAGGCATGTTTAAAGTCTGACCTGCTCACATGGCTCTTGTGAAAGACCTCAACTTTCCTGTTTGCCTGATCTCACCTGCAGTGACACCAACATTTGAAAGAGTCCCAGGTAAGTGAAGAGTGAAATGAATCCTAAGGCAGTTTCTCTTCCCACTGTCTTCTACCTGCTCCCAGCAGAGGAAAATGTTTAAAGCACCAAGAGCTGCCTTGGCCACACAGTCAGGGCAAAAGCTGCTCCTGTGAAAGATCTGTGGAAAGGGGCCCACAAAACAGCCCAAACACAGGCAATGAAAGATCAGCAGACAGACGTTGAAATATGTTGGTAAGATGGTGGAGACAAAAAGTCCCTAGGTAATTCTGCAGACAGAAAGACAGCTCTGTGAGAACAGGAATACTTTAATGCAGAAAAAACAAAAAAATATCCACCCCAACACTTGAAACAAACCAGTAATACCTGTTGACAGCTGATTTGTGCCTTTGGCACGGGATACCAAATCCAGCTGCTTCCAGCACTGTTTCTCTTTGGCTGCAAATCTGTTGTGGAGAGGCTGCCATTTTTATTTTAATGATAAAATTTGGGAAAGGGAAGTTAGATAAATGTGATGGCAAATATGTGAACAAGAAATTTGCAACCTTAAGTTTCCAGAAGAAACACAAGGAAGCAGATTCCTAGTCTGGAGCAGAGTCAAAAAGCACAAAGAAGGTCTGGAGCACAAGGGAACCTTCTGAGCCAAGAGCTGGCCCATGGTGTCTGGGCACTGAGAAAGACCCCAAAAAGATTTCCAAACTCACAAGGAGCGTTACAGCCCATGGGAGTTTCCCCATACATTTCAATGGATTACCTTTCCCTCTGCTACAATAAACCAATGTCCATGCTTACAAAATGAACTGCTTGGTGTAACAGGCACACAGTGGGAAACTTGCTTTAGTCAGCCATGACTTTTGTTTGGTTTTGTTTCTTTTTAAAACCCTGCACTCCTGAGAACCCATCCTCTGTTAACCGTTTAAAACAGTGCAGAACTTTCAGTGCCAGTTTAATCAGATGTCTCAGTAGTCAAACAAACTCTGGGGGGCTGGGCCATCCAGGGATGTGGAGAGTAACAACAGCATCTTTACAGACAGCAGAACACATTCTCAAAGACACAAACACTGATAAAGTTTTCAAATGTTTTTTCTTTCATTGTTTAAATAAGAGAATAACCATATCCTACATTATTTCCATTAAAAAAATCTGCATGACACTGGTTAAAGTGGACAGAAATATCCACAGCGATTGCACAAAACATTTGTGAAAATGAACATCATTTCAGCAAGTCAGTTGGTTGAAGTAAACAGCACTTCCTGTTCCAAGGGCTTGTCTATACAGCAAAGTTACATAAAGAAAACCTAAAATAGGAACTTAATGAAATTAATCATAAAACCTTCTGGGTATATAATCCTTTTTCATGGTGAAAGTGGCTTGCAGTCTAGCTTAGCTCTATTGGGAGTAGGCTTAAATTACATCAAAAGAGTGTCTGCAAATATATTTGCATTGTTTAAACAAATTTAGTTAAACCCAATATGAGTTAATCAGTGCAATTTTCAAAGAGTCAGCTTAAAAGGCAACTTAATACAAAACCAAGAGGAGTTTGACAGAAAATACATAACCCTGTGGACAGCTCCTTTCTGAAAGGTGAATTGTTCTTTCTAAGGACACACAACTCCACTTGCCACCACATTCATGGGAATTCCAGTGAATTTAGCTTTCCTCAGGGGCAGACCACAGCATGGAACTAACACTGCTGGAGGAATTGCAAATGCTTCCACTCTCTTGCTGGAAGAGAGACGTTGAGCTGGCAAAACGTGCCAAGATTGCCTGATGGAGCATCACACCCTGTACCCAGAAAAAGTCACTCTGCAGCCTGAGTGACCCCACTGGGGTCAGTGGAGGTGACCCACAGCCTCACCCCCAGACCTTCCTGGCTGTCCTGTCATCACTGTCAAACACACTTCATGAAACTGCATCATGAACGAGCCTCTAGGAAATATTTAAAAGCTTTTGGAGATAAAAACTATGCTAAACATCTGAGTGATAAGGTGAGCAAACCCATCTCACCCCTGTTCATTATCTCATAGCAGTGTTTTGTTCAGTAGTGGGTTTACAGCCACATCAAAAGTGACCACAGCTTTATGTGCAATCAAAATTAAATAGCTTATTGGTATTGCAAGAATAAATATTGCTTCAAGCACACTCTGCACCTCCCAGGATAAACAATGCATTTCACTCATTACCAAGCAGACTATTTGGGAAATAGCAGGATAAGCTAGCTCCTTCAGAACACCAGAATTCCACTGTTGCTCTAGAAGAAAGAGCAAACCCAAGGAATTTGTTGTTGCAAAGTGTGCAGTGGATTAGATTTTTTTAAAAATTAAAACCCAAATCCTCATACTAGGCTTTTTAGCAACACAGAAAGGAGTTTGGGTTTTTTAGTGTCAAGAATAAAATGACAAAATATTATTACATCTACCTCACCTAAGGAGAAAGTTAAGGCTTGTTTTTTCAAGAGTTTCCTTTTTGGACATGGCATGAATTGAGAGTCACAGTCTGCTTCAGACACTGCACCTCAGGTTTGCTCTCTGCTGCAGGAGCAGCTATGAGGCATTTCTGGCAAGTTAGTGTTTTTACACTTGAGAACATGAGATGTTCCAGTTTCACAACAGAACTGCTTTCCACAAGAATTGATATTTTTGTAATGCTTAGCAGCACTGTGATTATTAGAGCTTTCCCATAAGGCAATACAAATAGGAACATTAAAAAAAGCCTGAAGTTTGGATCATCCACAATATCTTGACATAATTCAAAAAGGAAGAGGGAGAATTAACTGAGATAAATCACACTCCTAAAGATCAAAGGCCTCTTTTAGCCTTGGGTCTGCTACTCCATTTATTAGTGAGAGAAAGAGATTCCACTTCTGATTTCTTTGCTGACAATCCCAGTTGGCAGCTCCTAAACAAGAGCAGACCTCTTCCAATCCTGATTTTTTTTCTTCTCCCAGGGAAGAAGCTCATTACCACCTGCCAGCCAATGGCTAGTACAGATTTGGTTTCCTCCAACCCATCACCTTGTTCCTTACAGTGGAAATACAGTAACCATTCCTACATTCAACTATTCCAGTACTGAAAGCAAAACCCAAAACATTTCAAACCTTATTTTATCTGCTATAGCTGTATTTCTTTGAACTCAAAGGTATATTTGGAAGAGGTAGTCCAGGAGAAAAGGGCTTTAAATACCAAAACCTGTATGTCCCATACCAAGCTGACAGACCTATCAGCACCCCGAGAAGCTTTTGGCTGAAGTCATGGAAATACAGGGCAGTACAGAGGAACATGAACACCCAGATCACGGTGAGGGAGCACAGGGAAACAAGCAGGACGTTGACCACCACACGCAGCTTGGAGCTGAGCTCTATGGCCAGCGCTTCCAGCACAGCCAGCTCCTCCAGGATCATCATGGCACAGTAGGAGAGCAGGAAGCAGTGCCCCGAGATGTCGAAGCCGTTCCAGACGCCGCTGTCCTGCTGGCACTCGCGCTTGGAGGCGTAGAGCCGGGGGGGCTGCCCGGGTTTGCCCTGCAGGGAGCACTCCCCAGTGAGGTTCTCCACGAGGATGAAGAGCTCAGTGCACAGGTACCACACGGCCGTGCCCACCAGCAGGGCCCCCAGGCGCCGCAGCACCAGCAGCGCGCTCTTGGCGCGGCCGTAGAGCAGCTTGCTCCGGGCCAGCTCGTACGTGGTGAGGGTGATGAAGGGCAGCAGCAGCCACAGCGTCCAAGCCCAGGCCAGCTTCACGAAGTATCTGCCAGAGGAAAGGCAAAGGAGACACCAGCATGGGTGAAATGTCATGGCAGTGGGGCAAGCAGTGGAGCAAGTGCTCAAGGTCAGTGTTCAGAACTAAATTAGAGACTTGTGAGTGCGCTTCTCTCAAAATACAGCTTAGCCACAATCTTAACCAGTATTTTCCTCAAGCCCAGTACTTTCCTCAAGCCCAAAACCTGAATACTTCCTCAGCCTGGTACTTGTTCCCAAGGCAGCACTGCTTTGGACCCAGAGCCCTCATTCATTGCAGCAGACTTGCAGTTCAGTTTTGCAATCACTTTGACCCTACAAAGCAGCTCAACTCTGCCCTACTCAAAATGCAGCTGCAAAGAATGTATTTTTAGCTTGCCACCCTGACCACAGTAACCCCTTCTCTGACTCTTCCACCATCTCAATTATCCTTGCTTACAAAGCCTCTCACAACCTCAGCCTCTTAAGGCAGCCAGAAGGGCTGGCTCTTTCTCCTCATCAGCCTGTGAAGCTTCTGCTCTCCCATGTCCTTCTGAATACATGAAGCAGCTCAATGTTGCTCCTTTGTTGTCCTTTCAATCGATGAGAGCCTTATTTTAGCAGATACAAATTCTTCCATCTCTAAATTCACTCTCTGCCCTGAAAACTTTTGCTGTGATGCCCATAAAATCTTGAAACCCAGCTGACCATGTGTTGATATCTTGTTTAACAGAAGACAGTATTGTGTTAACTTGTTCTCTTTTCAAATCTTAAACTGGAGCAGATGTAAGTGAATTTATTAATGAGTTAAGGAGGCCACAGTCCTTGTGGAACTTGCTTCTCTCATCAGCACCTTCCAAGAGGGGAATTGTGCAGCCCCTTTGTTACCTCAAGCCCAGTTTGAAAAGAGAGACAGCTGAACTCTGCTCTGTGGCTGAGCTATGGACAGACACACACAGTCATCATTTAATCCTCACCTGAGCATCAAAGGCAAAGCCCAACCAGCCTGGAGTTCTGCATCCTCCTTATGACCCTAACAAACCTGTCAGGGCCTTGCCCAGGATTTTGAGGAGTACCTCATTCACTGTTTAATTTTACAGGAGAAGTGATGCCTGTGTGGTTACTGCAGCTGCTGCTATGAAACAGTAATTGAAAATAAATCCCCCATTTTATTTAAAAGCAAGAACGGCTACTGCTGACAAGCCAGGAGGCAAGTAATTTGCAGGGAAAAAATATTGCTTCAGGAACTGTCAATACAGATCACCTTCCTCTGTTTAAAAGGGAGAACTGAACTGAAACATGCTTTTACTGTAAGAGCAATTTCTCTCTAAGTGTTTCCTGTCAATGCTCTTTCAATCACACTAAAACCAGCTCTTCTCTCATGTCACCAAAGGACAGATTTGAATGAGTGAAGTCCAAAGCTCCCCAAGAACAGAGGAAAAGAGCAATTTTAGTTTTACTTTCAGATCTGTAGCAGGACAGCTCATTGCTTCCTTCAAAATGCTCAAACTAGTTTCACAGAATGACTAAGCCACTTAGGTCATTGCCCAAGTGCCAGAAAAGCATGGCAGCCACTCTGCTTTTAGAAAAGATGGTAAAAGACCTATTTCCTTCGGCTGGGTTTTAGATCAGCTCAGTAACTGTCACAGACCCACAGAATATGCTGAGTTGGAAGGGACCCACAAAGGTCCTGGAGTCCAACTCCTGGCCCTGCACAGGACAGCCCGAGAGTCACAGCATGTGATGGGAAGCATTGTCAAAATGCTGTCAAAATGTCAAACCGCTGGGTTCTGTCAGCCTCGCTGCTGTTAGCACTGCCTGGGAGCCTGTTCAGTGCCCAGCCACGCTCCGATGGAGAACCTTTCCTAACACCCAGCCCAGCCCTCCCTGACACAGCTCCAGGCCCTGCCCTCGGTCCTGCCAGAGAAAGTGAAATCGGTTTACTCAAATACGAGGAATTATCTGCGACGTTAAGAAGGAAAAAAAAACCCCAACAACTCCTTTCCCCCCCTTCCAATAAAGACTGAGCCAGAAACTCCCGATATTCTGAAACCTTTGAGTCAGGAACAGGAAATCTCATCACCCGAAGCTCCAGCCCCGGGCCCGGCGCGGCACCGGCGGCCAGCGCCGAGCGCGGCCCTCAGCCCGCTGCGGGCACGGCCGCCCGCTCGGCCCGCCCAGCCGCGTCCCTCCCGCCCGCGCCGGCCGCGACCCCCGGGCCCCTCCTCACACGTTGAGCGGGTTGCGCTTGTTCTGCAGCGGCGTGTCGGGCACCAGGTCGCTGTCCTTGAGCACGGAGCCCAGCACGGCGATGGCGAGCAGCAGCACGGG